CTTTTCTACCCAGCAATTAAAACTGTGTTGTCTCAATCAGTAATCATTTGCACGTAATCACCACCTACTCACATGCATTCTGGATAAACGGAAATTCACTTCTTAAATTTATTTTTTAATTCAGCATCAAACACATTTGTTTATTTTCAAAAGCTTTTGAAATGGAATCAGAAGCCATGTGTGGGGTTTATAAATAAACTCAGGTTTCCAAATGAACAAACAGATTTTTCTCAACATTCACCTTAGTCCAATCATTTCTTTCCTCTGCATGTGGCTACATGATGAATGAAGGAAAGAAATAAATAACCATGCCAAGCATTTGGCAATGAACTCGCTCTATTATAGTCAAGAAATTGCACATCAGATGAGAAGCTGCAGAACTTAATTAAAAGGAAACACAGTCACAGTTTGTTACTTTACTTTTCTTTTTTCTTTCTTTTTTTTCTTTTTTTTTTTTTTTGAGTTACAATTTATTTTAAGCTTTCAGAAATCCTCAACATCCTCTTAAAGGAAACAAAGATCTTAGCAATGCAAACAGATTTTAGAAAGTACGAAAATGGCATTCAAGGATTGCTTGGTTTAAATATTCCTCTGTATTTCTGCACAGTTACCCTACTGTTTGGGTTCCCTTACAACTATTATTATTGTTAGCTTTAGTGGAGACATTCTTTTAAAGGAGAAAAACTGTGGCAGAAATATAAACATAAATGCCTGTCATGTTAGGTTTGCCTAAATATGATTTTAAAAGGAAAGAGAGAGACAAAAAAAAGAGAAAACCAACAAAACACTGAGTTACTCAGTTGTGGTATCAGGTTTCTTTGTATCTATTTTCATTTTGACATGCAAATGAAGGCTGAAATCTCCACTGTAGCATGTATCATAGAAGGACACAAGTACATATATTTATTGAGATTTTTACACTTTACATTTTTCTGTGTGTGTGCATGTAAAACAAGCAACTGTATGAATCACCCATCACATATCTGAAGAACAAAACTACAAGAATATGTGATGAGGGGATTCCTGAAGGACTTCATAAGAATTCAGCTTTGGCATTACCCAAATTAAGGTACCATTTCTCAGTATCTCTGTGTAACTTGGTTCTGAACTCTGTGATTTTCTTGAGGATCTTCATCCTGATCTGATTTACATAAGGAAGGGGCTAAAACTGATCAGCTCTTTTAAGACAAGGGAAATTCCAGACATGCAAAAAGTCACTACTGCTACTACTGACTACATTTTGAAAGAGAACATCCCAGTTTGCTTTCTCTGGTGTGGGGGAGTAGGTATGTGTTCTTTCAGATACTGCTTTATGTAGGTAAATATTTATTAACTCTTATGCCTAGTAGCTACTTCCAAGTGACTGTTCAGGGATGTGATGTTGTCTGAATGGAAACAGACAGCTATACAACTGAGAAATTGATCTAAACTTCAGAGAAATGTGAGATTTCAGAAACAGCCTTATTACTCTCAGCATTTCCTGCAATAACTCTAGGAAATGCTTTTTATATATTCCATTTGGAGACATCTGACTTTCCTTGTCCACTCTATAGAAACTCTAGGTGAGGTTCTGGCTTTTACCTGGGGAACCAAAGGCCTGACACACTGAGTTATTAGGTATTCAAGTGTTTTACAGGATCTAGCTTAAAAAGTATGTTCCTCAGAAATTATGTCAGTGACTCTGTCTGGTCTCAATGGGATTATTCTTGGACTTAAAATCATGCATGAGTTTAGGTGTTTTGCTGAATGAGAGATTTCACATTGCTAACTGATCAATGATTGCCACTGAGGCATTATTATACACAGACTTCCTTTATTCTACTGTTTATAACTGGGCAAAATTAATGTGAACTGTTGTCATTTTATTTGCAGATCACAGTAAACAGCTTTTCGATCTCTGAGATTGGCTACTCAGGAAGGGAGGCAATGGCAGAACAAGTTTTCTTTTTGTTTGTTGTTGTTGTTTTATTATGAATTCTGTAATCTAAATTCTGCCCAAACAAATTGCAGTTTTAACTAGAAAGATATGGAAGACTGATATGCAAGGTAGGAATTTATGAATTTAAACGAGGTTAGGTTTCTTTGATGTTTTGCTGGATTTTTTTTTTTTTTTAAACTATCCAAACGAATCTAGGAAAAACATGAATGTTTGTTACAGGGACCACCAAGCAAAGAAGCATCAGTTTTAGAAGTCCAGGGTATGAAAAAAATAAAGCCTTTGTCATTTTGCATGTGTATTGAAATTGCTTTATACAATCCTAAATTGTCCTTAGGGGACCTGGAGTATGTTTTGAAATGTAGAGTTATTTGACCAAATCATTATAATATTCTTTGATTCCTGATATCTTGGAAACAGAATGAAAAGTTCATGCTTAGAACTCTTTTCAGATCTGTATAACTCAAAAGTGTGCTCAAGTAATTAGACCTCCATATTTCTTCCAGTGACTCAGAATATGGTAAAATACAACACCACATTACTGCATTTTCATGCAGTCAGAAATTGAGTGTTTAGAGCTGTGGGAGGCATGAAGAACACCCTGTTTTGCTTAGGAAATATCAGATAGACTGGAGCAATGCAGAGGTGGGGAGCTGAACTGGGAGGGAACAAAGTAAACCGGCAATTAAAGGAAACAGGGAAAGCAATTGTAAATAAGGAAAGTTGACTTAAAATGTGATTTCAGGTGAACATTTCAAATGGCAGATTTTCCTGCCAGCCTACAAGGAAGTAAGAGTTGAATTTGTGAAAGGGATTCAGATATCTTGCGGTCTTGTCTCTGTCCCACCAGAGTCTAAAATGCCACAGTAATGATATTAACCCCAACAGAAGCATGTTTGCTGTTTTGTTTGTTTGTTTTCTTTTATTTTTGTGTAATACCTAAAATCATCTAAACAACATAGTGACATTACATTATTTTATTGTTTCAACTTCCTTTTTCTATAGTTCCCTCAAATTCCTGTTTCCCCTCTACTACCTACCAGTAATCACACCTCTTCCATCATAAAAAGTACCCAAAGTTCTTACCTAAATTGAAAAGGAGGTTTCACATTTTTTCAGTCTGCAATTAGGTTTTAAAAAATTCTTCTTAAGTCAATTTTTCTCTAGCTGGATGTTAGGTTAAAATTTGAGTCCTTACAAATTTTCTCTGAAAGATTATTTAGAATTTTAAATTGTGAGACAGTGAGTTACCCCTATTTTCTGGTATTTCCACACAGTAAGCAGCCTAGCTTCAGCTTTTGGTAATTCTCAGGATACCTCTAATAACTGATAGCCCAGAGCTGAAGATATTTTCTTGTATCATTGTATGGTCATTAATGGCTCATAATACTGGCTCATCAAGGCAGCTTCAATTTTTATAAACCACTGCTTAAAAACTATTGATGACTGCACATTTTATTCAGACAGAAGTTCTTAGGACAAAAATCCCAAAGATAAAGTATTTATGTGCTAAAGAATCTCTGAAACACAACTCTTTACTATCTTTCAGAATACCACCTCGTAGAAATGTTGTCCTATACTTCCTACTCATTCAGCAAAGGAATGATTTCTTTTTATTCTGTTATACTTATTGGACTAGTGAGAATTACATCAAAAAATAACAAAAAAAAAGTTGCATTAACTTGCTTATTCAGAGAAGATTTCCGTCCAGTCTGTTGCCTTCTATCTTACTGATTAAATAACAAATAAAACAAAGAATGTTTTTACATGTTCTCACTTTTTGCATAAGAGTAAATGCTTTCCTGGCTCCTGTATATATGATGAGATTGGTTTCCTACTTTGTTACCATGTTCAATATATATATATATATATATATATATATATTATATATTTATATATATAATATATATATTTATATATATAATATATATATTTATTTTTAGAAAGACAATCTTCTCCCCACTATTTCTCTCTGTGCTTCACAGCAAACACTTTCATAGCCTTTGTGTAGAATTTGTCTGCAGAGAGGGACTTAATTCTGCTACTGACATTTTTTTTCCCTCCACCTGTTTAGCAGATTGTAAAATGTGTGCGCTTAAAACAGCAATTACTGTCAGTTCTTCCACCACCAATGAGATCACAACTAGAATTAAAGAAATTCCTCTCCCATTGCATAATATGTTCTTTCCTTTATTTGATCATTGTTGATCACATTTATTATTGATCCTATCTATTTTTATCTATTTTTTATTGATCTTATGCTATTATTTATCCTATCATTGTTTATTTGATCTCTTCCCCAATCCTCCTGTCCTAAAACATAGAAACTTGGCATAATTTTTTCTATTTCCCACAGCATTTTAAGAAAATTGGTCATCATCCCTCCTAAATGTCATTAAACACTTTATTTTATATAACTCTGCAATTCTGACTTAGAAATTGAATTGATTCTGTGTTTATAAGAAAATGTTTTCTCATTTATATTCTCACTTACACATATTCAGATCTTAGTGGAAGAAATTATTAGATTAAGCAAGAAAGTAAAGCAGTTCTAATCTTTGCAAATATGTTTGTATTGAGCCTGACATTTTCTCCTTCAAAGAGTCAGACCGGATATTCATTTGTGCAATACAAACCAAACAATTCCTCCAAAATGGACTTTCTTGTTGGAAGAGATGAAATTAAAATATTTACCCATCTGTTCTTCCTTATTATTTTGGCCATAGAAAGTCACTGGTATTCTACTACAATTAGAAGTAAATAGGCAGGTCAGAGTTTCAAAAATCCTTCACAGCTCTCCCTGTGACAGCACTTTTAAAAAGAGGTGAACCAATATGTTTTTTGTCCTCTGTATTGATATAAGCGATACCATTGGCTTGAAAGAGAGTGCTCAAAGGAAGGTGATCAGAATTTTACAGTGGGAAAAAGTTTTTAACAATGAGGCCTATATATTCTGTATACCTGTACAGGTACACAGTCATCTTCCAAGGGAAATGATAATTGTAATACAGTCCAGAATAGCATTGGATATACAGCATATTGAAAATATTCTTCTTTGCCAACATCAACAGATTAATTTTTATGTTTATTACACATTGCTTTGGACATCTCCAGATGGGTACATTTCAAAAATGGACTTATATAAATACACTATTTTACTGAGAGAATTTGAGATAGGAATTTTGCATGGCTTGTGCATGATTACCTCCATGGTAGTTACAAAAAACATTTGTACAGGGACAGTGAATATCAGAATTTTATAAACAGAAAACACTATCTAAATAAATGCTAATGCAGGACAATTTTGACAATCTTCATGCATGTTTCCTGCCAGTCTACATTCAGCAAAGACCTAAATTATTTCAGCAACCAAGAACATCGACATTATTTAGAAAAAAAAAAATCTCAGGAACTAACCTGGTATTTCCACGGTAAGAAATCCTTGGAGTTTGTTGCTATTGCTTCTAAATAACAAAAGAGTCTGTAATGATTCAAAAATTTAGTAGTTTGTCCATTGATGCCCTTGATAGCCTTTCAAATATTCACTTCAAGAAGAACAAACAGGTTGATAAAATTTTGAATTTATGTCCAATTTAAGCAAATTTTACAGGGAAATCTGATGCTTGCTCCAATTCCATCACATTTGGTGATTTCAGAAAGAAAGTGATTACCATACAGAACAACTCATTTTTAATAAACAAAACCATCTGGTCTCTTGAATCCCAGAATCAAAGCTTCATATGGTTTTAACCACAAGACACTTAAGTCACCCAAAAAGGCAGGAGCAACATAATTACTGCCTCAAATTATCTCTTCTAGTCTATATGGCCATATCTCTGCTTTTCTGTTATGTCCATTTAGCATTCTTGTACTTGACCACATAATACTTGCCAATGATACTTACACATTCATTTTCTCAGAAAATTATTAAAGTTACAAGTTTAGTCAATTGCAGTAATTACATCCTTTTTTGCTTTCAATAAGGTGTACTGAAGTGTTTTTAAGGAACATATTAACAGTAATAAAACGAGATACTGCATAAAGTTTTCTTTGGTCATTTTACCATTAGATCTCTAAGCAGGGTTAGGTTCTATCTCCTTCAGCTTAAAAACAATACTATTGAAAATAATGTCTACTTACATGCTTGATTTCAGGGCTTCTGTATTTCTTCTTCAGAGTACTTTATGCTACCTTAGGCATTATTTCAACATCACTTGGTGCAAACTGGATGCGTAATGTAATGTTCCTGGGTCTTGATAAATAGATGCTGATTTTCAGTCCATCATTAATTATATCTGCTGACCTGGGAAAATATATTATGTTAGCTTACAAAAACTGTTCAGTTTTAATTGACACTGAATTAAATACTGGGGCAAGGGAATACTTTTTCATAAAACCAAGACCGCTAACAGCAGTTGCTCTAATGGTCTTTTTACACAACAAGAAGAAAACTTTGCAAAAGCAATTAAACATCCTCTTCTAATGTTTATTAACTATCATGGAATTGACTGAGAATGAAATTGGCTAAAATTCAGTAAATGCAAAAATGAATCTGTGCTATTTTCCTTCTTTATCCTAAGTAAAATGCAAAAATCATATAAGCAAAAGCAACTGCAAAAGGAAAAATTGTTTTTCCCCTCTGACCACCTTCTGTTGTGTAATACCTGAAAGCTGGTATCTATCATAAAGTTGCAGATCCTTTATTTTGCATACAAAATACAGATATCCTGTATTTTCAGTCACAAGCTCCATTAATAACGGGACATATTTGCACACATTGAATAAATGAGTGTGACACTCATTATGAACTTAACCAGAATCCACACTGATTGAATCACCAGCCAGGATGATTAAAAGTCATCACGGCTTCTCAGATGAGCCTGAGGAAGAAATGCTTTTGAAAGGAAGCAATTCAGGGAGACTATTTTACATTACTGAGCCTTACTGCAAGATCAGTCGGTTTAACTAATGAACCCAATATCATTCCCTTGGTTCTGGGAGCACAGGCTGAAAAAAAAAAAAGCAGCCCACATCAGAACTATTAGTTACTCTCAGTAAGTTACCTGAAGAAATAAAGCCCTATTGAGGCCTGTGTTTAATCAGCTTGAGTGAAGAAAGAGAGAAATCAAGGGCATTGAAACGAAGAGCAGTTTATTGAAGATCAGTTGACCTGAAGAACACAGAGCAAACAAACAAATAAAGATGCTTTCTGAGAGGTTCACCTATATGAGCCCACATACTATAAGCACTTCCTTGTTGGGATGTGTGCGCACAAGGCCCAGGGTTCAATAGTGCTACAGCTACTGAAATAGCTTGGCTGTGGCAGCAGTGCTCAGCATGTCTGAAACTGTGGAAAGGTTCAAGTAAGATTTTAGCCACTTGCTTCGGTCTGTACAGTCATGGCTGAACCCCGTCAGTCCCCATACTCCATATGCTACATCTAACTTTGGAACATCTACATAGCTTTTTAGCCGTTCTTTATATAATAGCATAATCTTAGGCTTTTCCATCACACTGGGTATTTATTGCACAAGTTTTGGAAGAAAACAGCTGGTGACTTTGCAGAGAAGAAGAGATGTAAACTCCTTGCAAGGAGGTTCAGAAAGTCTAACTCAGTGTCTGACATGCTCATCTAGATCATATTTCACTAGTATAGTTATATTATAAAGTGCAGCAGCTGGTGAGTGTAAACTCAACAATGCCTTCTAACAGACAAAATAACGTTCAAATGGAGATTCCAAACACTTTGCCAGGACTCTTGAATTAAGCCCTGAGTTTGTCTTTGAAAATAATAACGTTTTTTCCTATTTTGTAGTTAGGATAAATGGACCCTCCCACTGACCTAGACAGTCAGACTGGTCAGCATTTTCAGTTTGCCTTTTCTTTTGTAATTAACATAGAAAATATTATGTGGTAAAAAGGTCAGCTTAATCCCATCTGTGCTGTCAAACAGCGCATCAAGTGTCTACAATAATTATTAGCAGACAGTCTTTAAAAGCAACTGAGATTCAGTGTTGCTTCTATGCAGGCCATCGGGAAAAAAACAAAACAATTTTAATGACTCAGTCCTAATAATGAGAAGTTGTAACCTCATTTCTAATGAAGTGCTGATTTTGCCTTGGAAGCAAAGATAATGCTTAATTGAACAAGACATTGAGCAAAATGAAACAGTTGAATCAGTTTGGAGCAATGCAACTGTTGAAACATGATGAAAAAATATATTTACATTTGGAAGGGAGAAACAGAACATGAATGTTACTGCGTAAATGTTTATTTTAGCAATTCATATTATTAATTAAAAGAAGCAAATTAATAGAAGGAAAAAAAAAAAGAGAGAGATAGAGGAAAACATTTCAGCCATAAGTTTGGTCTAAGAAACAGATAATAGTACATGCATACCAAAATCTCCTTGCCAGTTAGTTACCAATCTTAAAAAACAAAAGCACATTGCTGTTTGTTCTTCATGGGATTTAGTTTCCCACCTAGTAAATTTTTCTCTGCTCTCAGTTGTAAAATATTACATGCAGCTGTACTAAAATACAAGGTGCAGGCCAACTATGTGAACTAGACTGCTGTGTCTAACCGAACTGTCTGGCCATTTTTATCACTGCACCGTGTTTTACATAAATTTTCTCTTTCTCTCCTACTGAGATTAAGATGAAGATTTTAAATAGCAAGTGGGCCAAGAAAACAGAGACTCCTCTAGATACATTTCCATTTTCTAATGATGGCCTGTTTACAGTCAGTTTTTCTGATCAGTCGGATTTTGTTTAATTTTCTGGTGTAACACTGACAGAACATGTATAATTTCAGCTATATAAATATACGTATGTAGGATTTAAGTGTGCAAGCTCTTCTACTCATTTTCTCCCTTGTGCTCCCAAAATTCACTGTAGTGATTCCTACAGATTCTCAACTCTATATGTTTTTAAGCTGTTCCTAATATTACCAAAACTCATTAACAGCTGCTAATATAAGATTAGCTAGACAGACTCTGATCTCCCCCAAAAACTTAGCACATATCCATGAAAGATATGGCAGAGTCTTCACTCTAAAAGCCAACGGAGGGCAAAGCAAGAGTTTAGCAAAGACTGTATTAGAATTTCATCAAAGGGGTTGGGAAATTGGTCTGAAAATCAACACCGGCATTTTATTAAAATGTCATGATAGTATAGATGGAAAACTGTTTTGAAACATTTTTGGCTTTTTTATGCTTCTAGATGTTCAGCAAGTTCTTAATGAAACTGTCCTTATCTACTGTTTATGGGAAAGCAATGTAGATCAACATTTTCCTGCGAGCTGTTCAAGAAAGCCTACTTTATTCACATAATTCATCTATTCAACTGCAACAGAGATTGTTTAAATAAAACGTTTCCGCTTTGAGTGATTTTTATGTTTCGGTTCCCCTCCCTTTCCTTCCCTTTTTCTTATTTGTTCTTTTTACTAGTTGCATCCACTGAAAATTTCTTCCAAGAAATGTCAAACTTAATACATTATTTGAGGAGATAATATGGTTTGTTTTAAAGTGTGTTTATGTTTAATATGATCTCACAAAGACTCTCTTATCTTGTACAAAGAGCTCTCAGATTTTGGACTTCCCATTTGTTCAGCTGAAGACTTCTGTAGTAAGGCTGTAGTAAGGCTGTGTAAGGCTGGACAGAAAGAACCAAGCCACAATAAATTAGATTACATCAGAATGATTTATTTCCATTGTAAAGAAATCCAAGATACAGAGGAAAACCAAACCAGCCAAACAAAAACATCCATGAATTTTCCTCTGAAGAGTCTGCCTCACTGTAGTAACCAAAGGCTTTTTAGAGCTAACCATTGAAAAGGTCAATAATCCTTGATTCTTGTAAATCTAGGGCTTAGTTCCAATCAACCTTCTCAGGCCACCACACCAAAGAAGCCTTAGAATTCATATTTCAATTTGATTCAAATGCTTAACAGGAGCTAATAAAAATAATTACAGCAGACAGAAAAATGCTGACATTTCTACATTTCCATGTAGAAATGTGTAGATATGTAGTAGATGTGTAGTCAGAATTATATCACTGCAATCTTTCCTATACTAAGAACTAACAAGCATCTTCTCAACAAAACAGTATTAGAGAGATGAAATGAAATGAAATGAAATGAAATGAAATAAAATAAAATAAAATAAAATAAAATAAAATAAAATAAAATAAAATAAAATAAAATAAAATAAAATAAATAAACATCAGCTGAGATTTAAATAATGGTTAAATAATGGTAAACAGTGATCCAAGGAAAGATAGAGAATGCCCCGGCATTCTGTCAGTAGCCCCTTTAGTTTTATTTAGCAAATGCATGAAAGAGCATTTCTGAGCAGTTCATTATCTGAGGTGACAAAGAAGAGCACAACTCACACTTTTGGCCTTCAGTGATCTAGAACCATCTTACTCGTGCTAAATCTGTCCTTTACCACATCTCTTGCTTCCCATGTACAACCTTGAAAGCACTACATTTTCTACCTGTATTTCCTCTTTCGTTCAGGGAAAATGTATCTCCTGAAGAGAGAAATACTGCAGAAGTGGTTCCTAGTCAGAAATAGCAAGTGAAAAATGTCACTGACTGTCAGTTCTTATTAAATGAGATTAGATGACTAAGGAGCTGACAAAGGAAAAATAAAGCTTTATGCTGAACTTTTATTTGTGCAATACAATCTATGTTACCTTCTGTAGCCAAAAGTTGCTTTGGTGTCAAGTTTAAATTGGTGAATATTAGCCAGATTTTAATGGCTTTTGAACTTTTACTGCTATGAACTGTTTGTCCAAAACTATATTAAGCTGTATAAGCTAAAGTATAACTATCCCAGAGAGGAATACACTATAACTTTTGTCAATAGATCAGAGCTTCTTTACCCCAGACACGTTAAAGAAAAAATAGTAATTAAAATAAATAAATAAATAAAAATTTGTACAACACCCTACCCAGAAATAACAGTTAACTTCTGAATTGTTAACATGTAATAATTGTTTACTGAATCTGTCAGACTAGTGGGAAAGGTACCAAATTTAGATATGCAATTTAGATTGCAATTAATAATATTCCAAACATTATTCTATAGTATCTAACAATATTCCAAGAAGTTATTTTAAAAACTATTGCAACTACCAAAAAGCAACAACCTAGGCATGCCAGTTATCAACGTCTGCATATAAAACATTTTCAAATAAACGTTATTATAAACTGGGTATGAATCAAGACTACAAGTTGTCTCTCATTTAGCAACTATGCAGTCTGGAAACTGGAAAACACTCTCACTTCTGGCTCAGATCC